TGCGCCACCTCTATGTATCGTGGGTAACTTTACCAGTGCTTCCCTCATAGTATTTTTTGCCTTTGTTGTAAACCACTCTTTGTTCAGTGAACCACAGACTCCTTGAAGCCAGGAGCCACCTATTATTTGCTTCCAAATCTTTACTGCTAAGTCTAGTGGTTTACTTATACTAGGTATTTAACAAGCATGGTTGGTCCATCAAATCACTGAGTTTCATATCTGTGGATTCAGAACAACACAGACTGAAAGTAACTTGGAAAACAAGGCATTATGTCTGCACTGAACTATTTTCTCTTGTCATGATTTCCCAAATAAGATAGTATAATGACTAATTTATCTATTAATTTCATTATATGAGGTCTTGTAAGTAATCCAAAGATGATTTAAAGTATGCCAGGAGGATGTGTGTAGCTAACATGCAGATATCATGCCACTTTATATAGATTAAGGATGACAAAGGATGACTGTATATTATGACAGATTCTGGAGGGAGAGCACAGGGTGAAGGTGGGAAAGTTTAGTTCAAGAGAGCTTCAGAGTTAGTGTGAGACACGATCACAATATCTCCTCCTAGAGTCAACAATCCTATTTATGATTGCATGAGATCAATGCCACAGTACTCAGGATCTCATCACAGAGATTAAAGGTAAATTGTTCTTTTTTGATTTGCACTTGTTTTGGAAAATCATTCAAAAATTATTGATAAATCGCCTCCTAGAAGTTATAAATTGCACAAAATAATGATCCAAGTATGAATTGTTCAATAATTTAATCCATAAAGAAGCCTATTACATGCTCAGTATTTTGTGCTTTCTATATTTTTTCTAAGAGCAGGTTAAATGACTGTATATCTTCGTGAATTCTTCTGGGAAATATATAAAATATAAGAGCCAATGATCCAAAGGTCAAAACAATGTAATTTTCATTCCATTTACAAGGAAAAAGTACAATTTAGGTTAAGGGTGTACCACAAAGCTCACAGGAGTGTGGCACCTTTGGTCTATGCTCATTTTATGTTGTAATAATTTATGGCTTTCATTGTAATTGACAAAACGGATTCATTAAAGGACCCTCCAGGTACATGTGCTCTGTATTAGTTAAAGGCATAATCAAATGACTGTACTGATAGCAAAGTTAGGCAGAAAATGATTCTTTAGTAAAAATTCTTTAATGTTTCTCCTTCAAAGGCTACCCAGTATATACTCAGACAAGCAACCGGCCATCCACTGCAACTAGATTTTATTAATTTACTTTGAGACAGGGTCTAACTATTTAGTTCAGACTGATCTTGAACTTCCTTATGTAGCTTAGGCTGGCCTCAAATTCATAGGGATCTTCCTGCCTTAGCCTACTACATGCTGGGATTATAGGTGTACACCACCATGCTCAGCGCTAGATTTTAGATTTACAAGTATTGCACTGCATTTGCGATCTGCCAGATTATGATTTGGAAGGGCCATTATGCCATTTCAAGATCACTCTTTCTATATCCAAAAATTATGACAAAAATGTCTACATTAGGAATTTTTTTCTACGAGATAGAGAATGAGAAACCGGTTTATATAACCAGGCAGGATGGTCTATTAGTTAAAATATGGTATCCACAGCGAGACTATTTGGATATGAATGCTACCTTTCACCACCTTTGTGACTTTGATAGGGTTACTTAACCTCTCTCTGCCTTAGTGTCCTCATATCTAGGTGGAGATGATCATAACACCTATCCACGTAGGGCTGTTAACTGATGTTTATCCATATAGGGCTCTTAAGTGTGCTGATGTTTACAAAACACTTAGAACACTGCCTGTAAGCGGTGAATAATTACTGAATACTGTAATTTGTATTCATAGCCTGACATAGTTCCAGCAAATAAAAATTTGAACTGGAAATCTTTGAATTTATACCATGTCTACCTAAAAGGGAAAGTAGATGAAACTAATGTAACATTATGACTAAGAAAAAAAGAGAAGTATCTTGTTTAATGACTTAATTAAGTCAATATAAATTTATTTCAAAGCTTTGACTGGGTGCTTTGTAGCAGAGGGAACAGCCCTTAAAAGAAAAATTGCTATTTTTATAAGTCTTTGTTGGAACTAAGAATGCTGCAACGAGATAGGAAAAGAAAAGCAGTTGATAGGAGGTGGTAACTAGGCTTTGTACAGGATGACGGACCTATTAGCCTGCTGGGGAATAGTGAGAAGGTGAGGTCTTCTATCTTGAAGTGAAAGAAGTAGTTTTTTCCTCTAAGGGTTTCAGAATCTTGCCTCTGAGAATTTCAGTTTGTGCTTAAAAAATGTGTGGTTGTGTGTTGGAGATGAGTAAAGTGTAGACGTAACAAGTGGTCTGGCAGTAAATGCATGGGAAAGTACGGTCACTACCTTGCTAGGCAGACAGAGCTCGGGTGGAACCAGGTCATAGTGCCTGCCCTGGCCTATCTGCATCCAGGTATAGAATTTCATGACCCATCCCGGTTATCCGGGTTCAGTTCCAGTGAAATGTGATTCTACATTGAACAATTCAGCCTTCTGGGAATCAACCTTAAGGAAATGATATTACACCTAAGGTGCTGGAAAAGTACTTTAGAGCTATATAAAAAGAGAGGTAGAAAAACCTGAGTTAGGGGAAACAAGACTAGAAACTGAGTGTGCATCAAGGAGACAGTAACGAGGGGCTAATTTCTGGAGTTTTATTGGTCTACATGGGAATAATGTGATGAAATGTCTGGTTAGTAGGTCTGTGTGTTTTGCACAGGCATCTTTTAGCTATTGCTCTCTCCCGGAGGAGTGTAACCCAGTTGTCCATTTTTGTATTACTTGTCCCTGTTAGTATGATGGTGGTCATGTAGAAAATAGAAAAGCGGAGAACAGAGGATCTGTACAGATTTGGTGACATTGCTCTAAGGGACCTATCCCTGTAATTTCCAACCTGTAATCACTAGGTATAAAGTGATCATTGAAACGTGATGTAGCTGAGAGTTATAGGGGAGGAGGGAACATAGAAAAGAAGCAGAGAGGGATAAAAAACTCTGGAGGAAACTGCTGTAAAATTCCTTTTCTCCAGGGTATACTAAAGGAAAGTGTCATTTTTTGTGTTGGGATAATAACACTCATGACCCAGTGATAAATCTGGTACATTGCTTTAGCAATGTTCTTTCATTGTAATGGCTATCTTTGTGATCATCATGATAATGGTGGTTGTTACAGTAGAGGGTCAATTTGTTTAGCTTGGAAGCCACTCAGAGGATTAATAAAGCACAGTATTGTGTGTTTCTGAAACATGACCTTGGATACTATGTCTAGTCCCATAACCCTTCCTCTCCGGCACCAATCCTGTCTTCTGCTTTCCAGCTACCATGAATTTAGCATCTTTGCTCCATCATGCCCTTCGGTCATTATATTACTGCCTTGAAATCAGCCAACCATGGACTGAATCCCCTGAAATTATAAGCCAATTAAACCTTTCTTTTAATGTGTGAATGCCAGGTATTATGTATCAGCAATAGGAAAGTAAATACAATCACTGTATTTTAATCTATCAGTATTTAGCATTTATGTGCCAAATACTGTGCTAAAGCTTTTATTTATACTATTTAATTTATCCTTTGAATTCCTATCCTTTAAAGTCCTATACCCAGATATAATGTCTTTTTTTGGCAATAAAACCAAGGTCAGAGCAGTTAAGAAGCATAATAAAACAGTATGGTTAGTGTGAGAGACAGTGACCTAGAGTTGCCTGATTCCCATGCCTATGCTCCTTTCTCTACACCCCTCGTTTCTGGGGTTCAGGGCCACCATGAAGAAAAACAGGTAATACAATAAAGTTGCATAGATATGATGATAGGTTTCTGCTGAGGCTGCAGGAAAGATGAAGTGTGATATAGCAATCTGTCTTCTGATGCGTCAAATTAAATAGAATTAAATAAGTTATGTGACATGAGCGCTAAAGGCTGGCACCAATTTTTAAAATGTCAGGAAGGTCTTTATCTTGAAACAAATTAAGGGAGCTGCTACAGGTCTGGAATGATCTGTGTCAGAAGAGTTTTGGTGCCATTTCAAGTCATCTCCACACTTGGAATCTGCAAGTGGCAAGTGAACATTGGACCCTTGGGAAACAGACACAGGAATAGGTAGGAGCTGTTCTTGGTCAAATGCAGGCATAAAAAATAATTCATCTGTCTCACGTCACTTCGTATTGAATTCTGTGCTATAAGTTCTTCCTTTCTGTCTCTTGGCCATTATCTTGGGTTCATCTCATAGATTTTCAGGTCACTTTGTGGCATTAGAAGTCTCATTTTTCAAGATATTGAAAAGTCAAATGTCATCTATATCAAAATTTCAACTTCTCATCTAATTTAAAGAAACTCTATTTTCAAGCTCAGATCCAGTCAGTCGTTAGATTGGGGTGGGACCAGGGCTTTTATTTCCTGGCTAAGTCTGATTCTTCTTCTGCTCTTCTCTCCCAACACCCCCCCACTGGGCTGCCTCTGCTCCCAGTCAGGAGTAGGAAGGAGGTGAGGGTGTAAAGCAGACTGCACACTTGCACCTGCATTTGGCTACAGCAATCTGGGATGGGTGTTCTCCTGGTGATGGCAGATACCCAAACGCTGGCTCTTTGGTGCATGTGGTAGGTTGTTTTACTAATGGTCTCTGCCAGCTAACCCCTCACACGTCCTCAAATCTCCTACCCAACTCTTGTTGCTGAAACATGAGATGCACTGCTGAGCTGACTGCCCAGTTCCTACTCTTTGGGTAAGGGCTGCTCTATCTTCTAAAACATCCTGTTAGTAGAAATTCTGTTAACAATGGCTATAGTTCAGTACCATTTAACAACTTGCCCTTCCCTGAAGTGGATTATGTTGAAGAAGCCATGGAATCATGCCACCCTTTGGGGTGTTGCAGTGGTTGATTGATTGCGTCAACTTGAAATATTTAGAAGCTTAACTAAGTCAGCTTAGCAATTCTATACCTAGGCTGTAGAAGACCCACCCTAGGATGGCTCACCTTCTGGATGGAATAAAAGAGAAGGAGGAAGGACAGGTGAGATTTGATTCTTTAGGGACGCTTCCATCTTTTTCACCTTTGGCTTGAATGTTGTCTCTTGGCTTCTAGTGCAGACTCTTCGGTTTCTGCCTTAGAGCCTTCAGTCTCCCAGCATAGATTCTTTAGTCTTCCATCACAGATCCATTGATCTGCTGGTGTGGACTTGCACAGGACACTGAAGTGAACTCCAGACCTTGGATTCAATAATCCTTCAATCTCCTGCTTGCAGACATCCTCTGCACGCTTCCTCATTCGACTCTGTGGTTAATCATCATAAGCCAATCTTGTAATTTCTTATACATTTGTGTTATATCTGTTTTCTCTAGTAAAACCCTGACTAATACAGGAGTCTTATGTGGATGGGGAAGAATTTCTCCTTAAAACATGATGGTACACAAGTTAATGTGTCAGCCTTGAGGCTTCAGCAGAAACTTAAGATAATAAGAAAAATTCAAGAGAAATACAATCAGATGCCATTGAATCAGAAAGCTGTCATTTGATTTAGCTGGCAGGCTTTATTTCTTAACGTTAGTAATCATCAACAAAACTACCACTTTTGAGAGCCTGCTAGTACCTATATTCCTGATAAAAATACCACTTCAATCCTATACGTGTTCTTTTCTCCATGTGGCAGAAGACAGTGAGGTCAGGTTACTAATTTGTGGCAACACAGCTCGAATGGAACAAGCACTGGCTCCAAAGCCTGTATTTTCTCTAATATATCATGTTACATGTCCACACCTGAATTTAGGTATCATGGCTATGGGTAGTTGTCTTGGTTACTTTTCTCTCATTGCTGAGACAAAATACTTAACACCCAAAATGAAGGAAGGAAAGGTTTATTTAGCTTACAGTTTTTGAAGGTTTCAGTTCAGTTAACTGGTACCAAGGCAGGGTGTTATGGCTACGGGGCAACTGCTCATGGTGGCTGTAAGAGACAAGACCCAAAAGGGCAAAAAGGAAAAGCAGGCCTTCTTCCCTCCTTATAGTGTATGCTAGCTTCCTGCCACTGGGTGAGTGCAGGACTCACACTACCAATACCAGTGCTAGACCACAAATGATGGATTCATCTGCCTTCTAAAGGCTCATGCCCTATAACTGCATGAGGCTTTGAGGGGTATTTAAGCATAAACCATAACAATGGTCTTCAAACTGATCAAAATGTGGACTGGCCAGGTTGTAATCATGGCTCAAAGATTTCCTGCTTCTATTTAATCAAAATGCAAAACAATCTGTAACTGTGATTTCATACTTGGGTCCTTAAAAGAAGGAAACAGCATGCTTGAGATGTTTACCAAACCTCTGGGCTGGGAATGGGTTTGTGCATGCAGTGTCAAGGTCCTCAGTGTTTCTATTTGAACTGACATTTGAGAATCATTCCTTGCTTCCTTTACAAATTTGCCAGGGTTGTAGGTAATTTATGGTTGCTAAGAAGATAGACAAAAAAGGTTTCAAAAAAGGAGATACTTTCCCATCACTAAGAGAATAATGGAACAGTACATCCTTGTTATTTTGCTAATAACTACTGTATTTCATGTGCCTAAATGTCACTCTGTACTGTATACTGACAAAGGAATGAAGATTCTTTTATTTTTTAGTGTCTATCATTTAACTCACTTCAAAGAACCATTTAACTTGCTAAAATACATAATATAACAGAGAAAAATAATCAAAAGTGGAAGACTTTTCTGCAGTAACCTGGAGTCATATTATTAAGTTCTTAACAAGGATAATAGGGAAGCAGTAAATGCAGGAAATGAGCACATTAGGTAGCACAGCACCATTCTGTTAAAGAGACAAATCAGGCTATAGAGCTGAATTACTGTTTCCCATATTTAATTTGACCCTCCTTACTGTCTGTGAGGCAAGTGATACTATTATTATTGTGTAACAGGTGAGAATTTGGAGAATCTGTGTAATAAAAACCTACACGAGGTCGCAACTAACACTGTTTTTCTGAAAACTGTCCTCTTTCCATCACTGCACATTAACAGGAAAGAGCTGCATTGGAGAAATCTCTTGTAATTTCAAAACTGACCCAAATTTGCAGGGGCAGACCTGCCATTTATATCCATGTTGATTTAATAGCTATAGTGATTTAGAAAAGCTGACTAGTGGGAATGATTGGAAATGAAGAGTGGAAATTGCTTTCAATGTAGCACCCATGAATCAATGATTCTTGCTGATTTGAACAGTTGTTAAGAGTTTAGTGATATGAAATTGGAAAAGCAGTTTTAGAAAAGTTCCAAAGGTGAACAAAGTTTTGTCAATCTTGAAAGAGGGCTTTTGCCTCCTTCATTTGGCTTCATTAGCAGTGAACAGAGAGGAAGTGAATGCTTCTCTCAAATGAAAAATCCCAAGGAACAGTGAGGCTGGAGTTACACCACTACAGTCTCAAGAAAAGGCCTCCATAAATAATTCTAGACTCAAACACTAATGCTGAAGGCTCAGTGAAGCGTGGCATTCAAGGATTTTATGTGTTCTGTTGCAATTAGCTATGTGAATTATTTCAGCAATAAGAAACAAAATATTGCTAATAACATCACATAGGCCTGTGTCTCATGGTGCCCCTCATCTGGATATCAGAATTTACATAGCCTCTTTTCACCAGAGAACCTAGAATAGTATCAGACCCTTTGTAGAACACCGAAGGTGGGTCCTGTCCAAGGAGTAGCTGTATCACTATACTGTGAAATATGAAAAAAGACTGCAGAATAAAAACTGACCCTGGAAGCGCTGAGCACCTAAAGCCCCTTTCAGAATTGCTTGTCAGCCAATTCTGTGTTTGTAACTGGGTATGTAAACCAAGGAGCAAACACCTTCTCATGGTTCTTCCATCTGACCTTACTCAGATAGTCTTTGGCTCTAAGTTTTCTTCTGCTTGACTATTTGGCTTTTTTTTTAATCTTAATTTTATATTTTGATTCAGGTGTGGATATTACTGGAAGAAAAGTTAGCACTTAACTACTAGGTAAGGCCAATTCCATATTGTTTTAAAGCACTGACTTCTCCATGTTGACCTAATGGTATAGGTCAGAAGTAAAGAGCAAATGAACTAGTCGATTAATAGGTATGGATACTTTCATCGTGTTCTATACCACAGTAATAACAAACATTTAAAATACTATACAGTATTTCAAAATAGCTTTATTGAAAAATATGAAAACACCACCTTAAGCTTCCTTAAAAATACAAAACCTCATTTACTCTGAGCACTAACTATATACAGACTGAGCACTCCTAATAAATAAAAAATCTGAGATCCAAAATATTCTAAAACCTGAAAACTTTTGAGAGTCATCATTAAGCTACACGCAGAAAATTCCACACCTGACCTCACATGATGGGTTACAGATGAAACGCAGGCACAACAAAAACACTGCATAAGAACAACTGGAGGCAATGTATATAGAGCACGAATGAAACATAAATGAATTTGTGTTTATACTTGGGTTCCAACCCCAGGATATCTTTTATGCATATATAAATATTCCAAAAGCCAAAGAAATGTGAAACATTTCTGGTCCTAAGCATTTCAGATAAGGGACATACTGTGTTTACACTGTGACTTTTTCTGTGCTTATCGTTGTTAAGAAATGATACTGACATTGCGATAATCAAGTACTTAATTTTCTATTGTGCTCTGACTATTGTATGGTCTCCTTTTTTAATGCAGCATTGTTTTACATAGGCTTTCTAAGTGTTTACATAGTTCAAATATTCATCATTTTCATTGCCACAGACTTTATTACCATATTAAAGTTCCAAAGTTTGCTTAATCACTCCTTAATTGTTGAGCATTTGGGTTGTTTCCAGCAATGTGCTGTTGCAAATAAGGTGGCTATAAACATCTTTGTACAAGAAGGCTTAACTGCTATTTTCTTTAGATAATTCCCCAAGGTGAGCCTGCTTAGTGCAAGGGGCATGATCATTTTATTGAGCTCTTGTGGTGCCAGAACACTATCTAAAAATACCATTCTAATTAGCAGTGTCACTGTTAAGGAAAGAGGGCACCTGGGCATCTCTGTTTTGTTTTTTTTTTTTGTTAAACCTCTGTGAATATTTAGACTACTGTCTTGAAACAATGAGAAAGCTTCAGATGTCCTCAAAAACAACAATCTGTGGACAAAGTCTTCAGCAGCCACCATGCCAAGAGGACCGCAAGGAGTCTGCTTTCTGGTAGTCACAGCTCTGTGACCTAGCTTCAGAGCCCTCAGTGTCATCTATTTCATCTCTGTTTACAGCTACTACGGCTGGTTCTCCTCAGAATCTGTCCCCATGGATGTTGCAAAAGATAGAGCTCCTTTCTGCTGTATGCAGACAGTGGCCCTGGCTTTGGCAAGAGGTTACTGGCCTGGAAAAGCTGCTTTTAAATCTAATGAGATGGGTGTTGTCCTCAAGACAGAGGAAGTTAATGACCTCAGCAACTTTACTGAATCCTATTTCAGCAGACTGCAGGACTTGGCATTCGAAACAAGATTTGCAAGAGGGGTTCTTTGACCTCTAGCCTCGCTCTTCTGCCTCTCACTGGGCAGCCAATATGGACAGGGTCAGTGCTGAGCTGTTTTCTCAGCCTTCCTTACTATTTACTCCGAAAGACATCAGCCCTGTTGGGGATAAGAGCATAAATTCTCAGCTACCTTCAGGATAAGGAATGTGTGGAAAATGAACACCTTTTTTACTCTTTCAGGTTTCAAAAAAAAATAATAACTCCCACTCCGCTGGCGGAGGCAGCACGCAGTGACTCAGAGTCAGGCGGTAGGTGGAGGTGGAATGGGAAAGTAATGGATCGTGCACCTCCCTTGGCTCAAGGAAATAATAATTGCAGACTCTCAGCTTTTACCATCTTCTCTTTCACCATCATCACTTGTAGCTGACATGAAGGGTAAATTAAAAAATTCCCCCTGGTGGATCACGAACTTTGGTATGTTTTTCCTCCCGTGTACGTATTCCTGTTGTGTCCAATGATTAAATCCCATTGAAAGGGGCTTGCTCTTTTTACACTCTTTTTATTCTCTCTAATCACTTTTGCTTTTCTTTTAAGTTCACTTGGTTGGTATGAAATCAGGGAACTCACAGAAGGTAGAAGTGGTACATTTAAAATTGTCTACCTTACTCCCCCATGAATACAGAACCTACAGCAGTCAGCTTGCTTTCTTGTTCTCTGCCAAACCACCATAAATTAAATATCCCACCAGATTCTCTGCTCATACATTTGGGAAGGCTTCCTGTAATCAAATAAATAATACAGTCAGAAGTTAAGTCTAGTATTCAAGCTAAAAGGTTTATTTTTTTGACCATATTATTATTTTCTCTTTATTTTAAAGTAAAATAATTTCATGACTTTATAGATATAAGAAGCTAATAAGACTTTGAGAGAAAACATAATTGTACATATTTAGAAAGGCTTCAAAAACCATTCCATGTTTCTAGAAATCATGTTTGGAAAAATATTTCTATACGTTTCCATGTATGCATGCAAATATAGACATGCATGCTGTGTTGTCTTTTGCCAGGAGATGGGAAGTACATATAATTACTTCTTTATTTCTTAGTTTCTATTTATTTATTTATTTTTTTGATACTGGGGATCGAACTCACAATCTTGTGCTTGTAGGGCAGGCACTTGTGCTGCTGAGCTAAATCCCGAACCTTATAATTACTTGTTTTACTCATGAAGTGACCAAGATAAATATAACACTTTTATCTGGATGAATAAGCTCTTTTGTTGTATTGAAAGTCTGAAGTAGATTTTGTCTCAAAAAGTATCTGTGGGATTCATATCCTAGAAATCTGTGAAATATTTGCCCAGAGTATTAAGCCTGGGGCTGAAGGTGGAGGCCAGTGGTAGAACATTTCCCCAGCACTGGGACCGAGAACCTGGGTTTGATGCCACCCAAGCAGTGCAAACACAACAAAAGCAAATGAACAAATGAGAAAAAGTCTTGCCTATCTGAGTCAGGTGTTGACATTTCCTGATCTATACTTGGAGATAGTAATCTTGCCTCCTCTACTCTTTACTGGTATTTACCCATGTCTCTCGTGCTTGGTCACAACCTTGAATACCTACCAGATCCAAGTATTCATGTCTAATAAAACTCAGACACACAAGCTTAAAGATCGTGTGGTTTCCTATTATATGAAAAACTCAATAGTGCAAAATAAAAGATAATAGGAAAAAGAGAAAGAAAGAACCATATTGTAATCTAGTGTAGACAATGTACCTAAAAGTGTACCTTGACTTAGTATTATCGGCTTAAATGTTTCGTATGTTCTTCAGCTTACTGGCCAGGGTTTCAACCTGTGTATATGATATTAACTTTATGAGGTCTTACATATAAATGAACCTGATTCTGGAAGAATAAAAGGAGGTGTGGGCAAAGAAGAGAATTAAAATGTGCTGTGTACATGTACTAGTCTCCTACAGTGAATGTAATTGTTATGTGCTGTAAATGCATCCTAATAAAAGTGAAAAAAAAAAAGTCACCAGGGCATTACCTTTCTCCTCACAACTGTTGGGGTTGCCTTGCTCTTATTCTTCCTTAAATGCCCCTTGCAGGCTCTGCCTTCCAGACTTAGAATGAGACTTAAGAATTCTAGTTTTAAATTTCAGCTCTACGAAAGCCCTAATTTCTGATCTCTGACTTCTGGCTTTGCCCATTAAAGCCATGGACATGAGGCATCCAGCCCTCCCACCCCACCCAAGGGCTCCAAACTAGGGAAGAACCAACTATATTCCATTTCCTCCCTGAGAGGGAAAGGGGGCTATCAGACACTGACCAAGATTCTTTTGACTTTTCAAATGCTTTGTATCTTCTTCTTCCTCTCTGGCTCTTGAAGCTTTATATCCAGATATAACTTTCAGAAGAGAAGCATATACCCTATTCTATTGAGTACTGTACCTAATATCCAGATATAACTTTCAGAAAAGAAGTGTGTACCCTATTCTATCGAGTACTGTACCTATTTGGGCAAAATTTAACATAAAATAGAAATAGCATATAAATCTTTAACTTTGGAAAGACCTTGTAAGGAAATCCATTAAATTTTTCAAGGAAGAGAAGGTATATTTTCTAAAAAGAGCCATCACCTAAAATATTTTAAAAATATTATTCTTGGCTTGATTTCAGAAATGGTCACACAATCATTCTTTTTCTTCATCCCTAATTTTAATAATGTAGGACTATGAGTATTAAAAATGATAAAAGTCCTTGATGGGGCTAATTTAAGTTCATTGATTTGTTACTGGAGACTGACAAACTGCCTTGTGTATATTTAATAATTAAATATTTTTGCTATATAACTTAAGTTTTTCTGAGAGGTGTCTAGGTATTGGTCTAGGTGGACTCTGTATCTTCCCTAATAATGCATCTCTCCTGTGTTTTAACTTTTTTGTTTAATTGAGGTGAAATCCATAGTAGATAGAATTGAAAGTGAACAAGTTAGTGGTATTTAGTCCATTCACTGTTTGTGCAACCACTACCTCTACTGACTTCCAAAACATCACTATCATCCTTAAAGAAAACCAGGGACCTGTTAAGCAGTCACTTCCATTCTTCCTTCCCTCTAGCTCCTGGAAAAGCAGTAACTGGTGTTCTGTTTCTATCTCATCTACTCTACACAATACATATAGCTGGAATTGTACAGTAGGTGGCTTTTTGTGTCTGGCTTCTTTGACAAGACAGAATGTTTTTGTTATTCAGCCACACCATAGAATGTTATCAGTACATCATTTTCATAGTAGATTTAATAAGATAAGATTCTTTAATTTTTTCTGGGCATGGTTTGCAAAATAAACCCAAAAGTAACAAATCTGTGGGATAATATTCATACTCAACTTTTAGAATACCAAGTACTATGAAATACATAGGTTTACCCAGAAACTATAGGATGCTTCTTTCAAATATGTGGCATCCTCAATTATTGGCCAGTCCTGGTACTAGTGAAAGAAATGAAAAGAGGCACCCTGCTGGAGATCTTTAACTTTGAAATTTTGCTTTTATGTGAAAGAACTTTTTTCCTATTTGGTCGTCAGCCCACTGATTCAGATACATGGACACAACAACTTTCATGGGTAACTCTGAAAA